GAACACCTTCAAGACACATTTGGATGCTTATCTTGCTGGGATCCTATGATCCCTGCTGACTTCCTGCCCCTGGGACAGGGGGCTGGACTTGATCTTCCAAGGTCCCTTCCAGCCCTAGTGTCTATGAATGTGCCTTGTGGCAGACAGCAAGTAAGGGGCCAGGGATGCATTGTCACAACAAGAATCAGGCCCCTTGTGGCTCCCCTGCCATCCACCCCGGCACACCAACTTCTTACAAGTCAAAGTTGAAGGATTTTTTGGCATTCTGCTGAAAAATATTGCCAACCCCTGCTCTAGACCCATGCCAAGACTTGAATCACGAATATCCATTATGCTATCAGTAGATTCAAATTCGTAAGGACAGAAATACAAACTAGAAACATCTGTTGCCAGCATAATGGCCTTAAATTACCTTAAAATATAGGGATGATGTGAAAAACAGCTGTGCCAAAGGCTCACAAAGGTATGGCTTCACTTCTGAAATGAAAGAGAAGTAAAAAGATATCTGTACAAGAATTCAAGCTACCCTGCCTAGATATAGCCTATGCTCATTCAGTCTGCCTCACATACCTGAAAAGCTATTGAGAGGGATCCAGCTCACCAGCCTGAGAACTTGTAATCGACAGCAGGAACCATCCCAGAGGGGAAGGCTTTTATATAGGAATTCTTCACAGGAAGAGATTCCCTCCTGCAAAGCACAAGATTGAAACATTAAAAAAGTTAAATCTCAAAAGCCTGTCCCTTGTCTTCCTTTGTTCCATGGTTTATTTTAGAGAAGAACAGGGGCCACCCAGCTCACCAGGATGCTAGGTAACAAGTACACTTTCAAAATTATCATACATCCAGAAGGGGTCAGTTTAGGAATCTTCACTTGCTCTGTCAACAGATTTTTACTGATTTTGTCTCTCATGGATGCCACAGGAAATGGACAATCCCCAATGCATCCTAAGGGGGGGGGGGGGAAATCAAGGAAGCTAAGGTTCTTCAATAAGCTGGTTACCTGCAAGAAACACTCTGCTTTGTAGATAGTATCCAGGAAGTCTTTGAAGTCTTCTTCATACAGCTGATTATCCACCTTGCACCAAATGCACTCTAAACCAAAGAGAATATTGTATTGGATAAGAACATAGAAGATTCACACAAACGGAAGCAGATTACAAAATCCTCTTCCCTGGACGGTTACCATTAAAAATCAACTGTATTTTTTCAGCTACATATGCATGTACAGTTAAGTACCATCACCAAGATAGGAAAAATACAGTTTCAGACACCGCTTTCCTCCCCACCAAGCCTGGTAATATTACGTTTCTACCTTCTTGAAGAGCCTGGCCCATCCAGTAGTTGAGCCGCAGGTATATAGATTCATCTTTCATACAATTAATGTAATGAAGCAACAAAGGACTCCTTAGCACTGAACTCATTCGGGAAGGAAACTGAAAGAAAACAGGATAACCAGCTATTGAATCTTTATTTCTGAAAAGTGCCAACACAAAGCTGATGCTATCAGAATTGTCCACTCTCTCTGATCCAAAGTGCCCAAACACACAAGACAGTTGGAACCAAAGCTTTCATACCACTGTGCACTAAACCCTACATTTTTTTATTGGGGTTGAGCAACATGTGCACTGCTCTCTATAAGGTCATGGGCACAATACATGGTTACATCTCACCTGCATATGCATGCCCATGCCGAGGCCTTCCTGCCACTCACCTCTAGGCAGTGGATGTTCTGTAGGAGTTGAGAAAATGTACAGAGTTTCTCCACTGGAAAGGATTCAGTGGGACTGAATATGTCAACATGGCTGACCTCCTTGCTCACAGTTGTGTTACTTGTACTGTTGCTACTTGCAGGCAAAATCAACTGAGTATTCCATTTCTAGACAGATTGGAAATCAAAATTAACAGCAGCAAGTAGGACTCCAACATAGTCATTCAGATAAATGCAGATATGCCCCAAATTATTTTACTACCCTGCCAAATACAATACACTTATATCCCAGGCATTTGAGGCAGTACATCATCATCAGGGATCCTGGTTTTCTGTTTAAAATATGAAATAGCCTGATTAAAAAAAATCCCAAATTCTCTGGATTACCCCCCATCAGCATTTTTCTGCAATTAAAATGAAATGCCGCTATCTATCTCTATATAGGTATCAGTTGAACACAATGTTTTGATACATTTACAATTTTAAGTAATTTGGAAGCCTACTAGTGCCTCAATCATTATAACAAAATACATTTTAAATACCTATATATTTTAGTGTTTGATTTTTTATCATCATGGAAAATAAGAGCTCCCCCTGCCCCTTTGCTCACCAGGATATGGGTCCAGCTGCAGATGTTCATTACAGAGAAAGCTACTATTCTACCCCACTGCTCTGTGGTGATGAGCAGCCTTGATATGTTGGTGTCCTGCCCATGCTGTTGCCCCACACACCCAAGCCACAGCCCTGCTAATGCCCCTCACTCTGACATACAGCCCCACAGCCCTGCTGGTGCCTCTCACCCCAGAACTGCTGCCCTCCGCCCCCAAGACCTAGCCACCAGAGCAAGGGGTGTGTGGTCCAGCCAGGCTGCAGCCCTGCTGTGGGCACTGAGATCTGGGGAGGCAGGTGCCCGCCCACCCTGGTCCCCTGCCACATCACTTGTGCTCCCTCCTACCCACAATGCACTGCCTGTGCCCCCTGCCTCTCCCTCACAGACTTACCTGGAGGGAGCTGCCCTCCACCACACTGCCTGGCTGCCACATTCATGTGGCACCCTCTGCCCCACACTGCTCCCAGCCCCAAGCAGCCCCTTGCAGGCTAGAAGGCCTGTAAGAGGAAACATATGTTTCCTTGGGTTTCTGTATTCTTCTCCTTTAAAGGAGAAAATCCATATTTTTCTGCAGCAAATTGAAAACCCAGATCCCAGATTATTTATTATACCCCATTAAATTATACTGCCATTCCCTATGCCCTAGTCAGATCCTGGTTCCTATCTTTTTCTAGGATTCAGCATAGAACAGCTCTAGAAATTGTTTGAGTTCCCATAACCTACCCTCTTCCGGGACTGAAGGTGAGTTGGACCTAGAATCAGTTGCTGGGATACTGGAAAAGTTCTCTGGTTTCTTTGCCTTACACTGTTGATTGCTGCTTTCCACAGGCTTTCTGAGTTCTTAAAGTAGGTCTGAAAAGCACAAACCAGATGTGTGAGAGGATAAATTAAAAAAAAAAAAAGTGACAGAAAAATAAGTTTCTATTTTGATACATATCACTGTAATGACTTCTATGTGCTCTGTTGTAACAGCTGGGCTTAACAGTCCAGGAGGTGCTAGGTTTCTGACAGTGCAGTATTACTTTTATCACCATGCAACTACAATCCACAAGAGACATTGACTTTTCTAAAGCTTTTGCCCTCTCTCAAACGTCAGAAAACACGGTTACAAAGGTTTCAAATGCATGAGAACTTGCATCTGTTTAAAAATTCTCATACTATTATTTTTATCTATTGATAGAGACAGGATCTAAATGATGCATTAATTAAAACCTGCCCAAGTATTTGGGTGCATTTACAATGGAGCCCCCAAGACATTCAGGAACAGTGAGTCTACCAAATAATTGACCAGGACAATCAGAGTCCATTTAAAAATGAGTTAAGTTTCTGGACATCATGGCTGCAAAGAAAACTTGAAATAAAAATTTAAAACAGATTTTTTTCTTGACCAGTCTTCCACCATTTTTATTAAAATCAGTTTTAAACCCTAACCCGATTTCAACCTTTACATTCAAACTCTTCAACTGGAAATATTTTCACTCAGTTTAGAAACACTATTATGAACTGGTGGCACGTGTAGGTTCAGACAAGGCCCAACTCTGGAAATGAAATGCCAGACCATCTCCCATGCTTTGGTAGGTGACAAAATCTCTGACTTCTCCAATTAACAAAAAAAATCTGCAGGATAATAAAAACTGCAAAAATAAGTAATGCAAACTGATATAAAAACAAACATTACCAGCAATATTCTAGTGACTAACTCCATTTTTAAATATACCCAGAGCTGCCTCAGCCTACCTGAGGTGCACAGAAACCAGATACCTACAGAATATAGTCCTGTTTACTACAGAATACTTAAGAAACTTTGACTAGAGTATTTACATGTGCAGTGTAACTGCACAGCATATCTTGTATGCAACTGCATAATTGTGACCACAGCATAGACACAATTACAAAATACTACCACATATCCTGTTCCTTCCTTGGAACTCCTCCAAGTCAACTCAGTTTTGCCACCATTACCTTTATATAGCAAAAACTTTCCAACTTAGAAAATCAGGCCCATAAACAAAATCTAAATTTTTATTCTATTCATTGTTTGTTGGCTGCCATTATCATCTGTACTGCAGTTTTTGCTACATAGAGGTAATGGTGGCAAAACTAAAAGCATTTGGGCAATACTTAGCAAGAATAGGAAGACATTATTTCCCCAAAACAGAATATATCAAATGGGAAGGAAATGATCAAGAGAGGATGAAAGTAACAACAATAAGAACGCAGTTCCATAGGCTAGCTTTCTGCCCTTCAGTTCCAAATCATTTACATTTGCTCTTGCTTCAGTATGGTGAAATGCTAGCAATCCCTATGTAACATTCCTTTTTTGGTGGAAAGAAGAGCCAGAATTATTCTTTCACCACTGTATCACACAGCAAAGCTGCTTATGTAGAAAGCACAGTACAAATTTGACACTCAACCCTGCCATTTGTAAGATCAACCCCATTGCTCACCTTCATTTTTGCAGGCAAAGTTATGGACACCAACTCAGGGTAGAAGAGCTTGTAAAGTGATAGCAAAGCCTGTAGATGAGGCTGCATTCCCTAGAATAAGTGGAAGACAGTTAAAATATGCACCAGAGGACTAAATACAGCAGCCAAGGAATAGAACGAAAAACCCAACTGAAAGTCAAAGACTTCCATACCTCATTAACCAGCCCCACAGTGCTATGTGCAGCTGAGGATGGAAGGAGAACAAGGAAGAAAGAAATAGTAATGGAAATGAGCGGGGAAGATAAATTTAAGTCCTAGTCCTAATGACCTAAAGACACTAAACAATCAGAGATGCTATATGATGACCTATTTGGCTAAAATGTGAATGGGAATGATTTTACTCTTAAAGCCAATGACATTCTATTAAAGAATGAAAATAGCATCATACAGTTAAACTTTCTGGAGTGTTACTGATTTGTTATCAAGTATAAAGAGAATGGAGCAGGGTTCTCTAAGTGTTATCCTCAAAAAACTGCAAGTGTTTGGAGTTGTTAAAACTTCTTAAAGGCTAGCTGTTATGGTACTGTAACAAATTGTGTATGCTATGGTGGTATGATACTGCATTGACCCTCAACTCCAAGCCTCTTTCTGATTTAGGGAATGCTCCTTGTCAAGAAATCTCTAGTCTGATAGAGGTTCTACTGGGACCAGACTAGAATCTGCTTTTGAGATAACTCCTTACCCCAGCAAACTTTAGCCTTATCCACCCCAGTCCAGACTTTGCAACTACAGCAGAGAAAGCTTGCTATCTTATGAGATATTTCCCTTTCGTTTTTAAAATATCATAGGTCCCCGTCTCCATGGAAGGGAACACCTGTACTTATGAATGGCCCTGAAATCACACTGACCACAGATATGCAATATATTATATAAAACAAAAAACAAAGGATGTATAATAAATACAAAGAAGAATAATTATACGAGAAAAAAATAAATTATTTTTGGAAGACAGAACAAAACAAAAATCATAAAACTAACAGCAAAAAAATCATACCCTGCTTCCCTAATCAAGAAACAGCTCCTCAAAGATTTCTTCAGTTATATTTCTCAGCCAGCCACCCCTGCCAGATGTCAGACCATTGACCCAGCCTTTTCCCAACTGGGGACTAAACCTCTGTAAGACCAGGGACTTTTTTGACAAGGAGCCTTCTTCTAAAGATATCACACTTACATAACTCATTGTTCTGTTCCAGGGGGTTAACAACCTATGGCCTGCAAAAGGCCTGATTCAGCACATGGCACTGTTTCTCACAGCTGCCAGGGCAGCTGGGGTCTTGTGGGGGTTGGATTCCAGTAGTCCAAGTCTCTCATCAGTCTCAAACCCCCTCCTCCTTCTGAGTCACCACTACAGCAGGAGGAGGTGTTGGTGCAGCTAGCAGACTAGAGGGTGACATAGCAGCCACCAGGGACAGGAACCTCCAACTTCCCTCTAGTGCAGCTGCTGCCTCTTACTGCCAAATTTATCACTAATTGCAACTGTAAGCAATAATAAAACTGAACATAGCTTAACATTAGTTTGAAAGAGAGACCAAACATCATAGTTAATTCAGTTTGGGAAAATATCTATGCAGGATATATAGTGAACCCCAAAAATCAATCCTGTATTTGGGTGAATCTGTGACACATACCAACTTAAATATTCAGCTGATACTAAGTCTACTGGGGTTTTAAATCACAAATGTATAAAGCAAAACATTTCAGGACTTGGACTGACATTCACAGAAAACTTAAAATTACCATTCTTCTAAGCCAGACATTTCCAGCTAAGCTAAAGTCACTGGCCCCACTGTATAGCCTACTCTTTCTTGCATACAATCTCTCCATCCACTAAGTCTCACAAGCACCCACTCCGAGAAACCCATTTGAAAGGTTTTGCAGCAAAGTCCAAAGTCATTCATTCCTGAAATTGTTAAACTGTTATAGGCACCAAAGTTCAGTGATTCTCAACTAGGGTACCTTAAAATCCTTTCAAGGGTGCCACAGGGAACCACACAATATTTGTCCCCCCAGGGACAAGAAGCTGCAGGACACCTTGTGCCACTGCTAGGTGTCCCTGAGGAACACCTGTGCCACACACCTTGTGGCACATGGCAGGTTACCCCAGGTGGGGTAGGAGAGGCTGGTGTCAACACAGGGCTGGCCCCAGCAGCCTTACCTGGGGTTCTGTTGGTCTCCTGGGGCTGCAGCAGTGGCGACAGCGCCACTCAGAGCCTGGCTGGCAGCTAGAGTGTGGCTCTAGCTGGCCAGGCTCTGGGCAACGTGTGCTGTCCCTGTGTGTGGTATCCTGCTTTTTTTTTTTTTGGCCCAATTTTGACCCTGGGATCTCCTGGGGTCAACCCCCACCACCCCCCTGTGCTGCTACCTTGCAACACAGAGAACACCTGAACGTGCAGTATGTGGCACCACAAATGTATCTGCAGTGCTATATACTGCATACTATATACTCGTCTGGATGTGGCCAGAGATTTCAAATAGGAATTCATTGTGCTCAGAACATTCTAACTTGTTATAGACTGTCTAAATTATTTGTAACAGGAGAATAATGCTACTATTTTTCTGTAGTAAAAAAAAAAAAAAAGAAGTGAAAACTAAGAGCTGGCATTGTCCAAGGGTAGCCTGAGTCTAAAAAGACTGAGAACCACTGCCATAATTACTAGAAGATATTTTGAGGCTTTTAAAAAACAAAACAAACCAAAGAATAAACCCTGAATTTTGCTTCACATGTTTATACTCTGAGAATCCAGTACAAACGTTATGACAACTATTTTTCTGGCAACAGATTTACTGAGTGGAAGATGAAGTCTTCAACATCCAAACACTGAGAATCACACACAATTTTGCAGTTTTCTAACATCAAGGTCTCAGGTCACAGTTACCAACCTTCTAGCTGCCTTGCATATTTTGCAGCCCTGTGTCTCTATCTATGGACATTTCAGTCCTTTTGTCAGTGGATCTTAACCTTGCTAGACTCCAGACATCCCACATTAGCCCCGAAGGCACCCCTTGGAAAATGTCAGCCCTTAGCTTTCATTAATTTCTTGACTACAGAAAAATAACAATGAACTCTCTTGTTCTAAAGAACTCAACAGGCCTACAACAGGTCAGAGAGGAATCCATAGTGTCAAAACCAATCTCAAATCTCTGGATTAATCATGTGAATCATGCATAGGCATTAGCACTGTTAAATGTGCAAACACTGTGCAGCACCAGTGGGCACCTTAAAAGCAACTTGTGGCACTCAGGCTGAGAATCGCTGTCCTATGTACTTCTCATCAGCCATCAGTGTAAGTGCCTTAATCACTTAGATGGCAGATTTAAAAAAGAAAAACAAAAAAGAATCACAGTGTATTTCAGGAAGGTAGGGGAAGAATAATAGCTGCTTCTCCTCTGGATTCAGAATCCCACTCTCCTTTCCCCAGTCAGGCAAAGGAGAAAGCCTGGGGTTGATCAAGTATCAACTGTCATCCCAAATGTAGTTAGCAAAGGATAAAAGTTGTAAAGAAGAGTAAGTGGTGGCCTAGATTCATTACTGATACTAGAGCAGGGCTAGCCAACAGGAAACCTAGAAAAGGGCAGTAACAGGGTTGATAGTCAAAAGAGAGAATATAATCAGGGAGAAACTATAGAGGTGAATAGTGTGGGATTAGAATGTAGCAGTTCAGTGGTTAAGAGAGAGGGCCTGATGCAAGTATAAAAGGTTCAATTCCTGGTTCTGGTATTAATGTAAGTATTCTTAAATAGGTCACCACCTCTGTCCCTCAGCTTCCTATTTTTGAAGGAGAGGTCTCTGGCCATCATTTTGATAGTTTCTGATAATACTGTAGAAGCAAAAAGGCAAGTGGAAAATGAAAAAGTAAGGAAATGGAAAGGGAGAGTCAAGAGCCTACTACCAAGTAGGTTTGTTTGGCTGTTTCTAGTTGAAAATGTTTGCATTGCTATCCTGAGTGCTTGGAAGAGACACAAAATACAAGGCAGGAATTACAGGTTAACACAAGGTACAGGCTCTTGTGCTAAATAAAAAAATCCTCAGTCAGTCCTTAGCATTACAGAGAAAAAAGCTACTATTCTAAGGTCTAATAACTCCATCCTAGTTGTAATCATGTCTGCCTCTCTTCTGGGCTCTATTAAGAAAGTACAGGGATTGCAAGCTCAACTAATTATTTCTTCTATTCAAGATTTTCAGTAACTCACCATCTTTGCCTGTAGATCTAACAGTTTCCTCACGCGAAAAGGTTTTACTGCAAAAAGAGGAAAAGCTAAGAATATTATGGGTACAAAACATCACATCAGACAATTGCATATTTATGCATTGTATGGCCTAATACATTGAACCAGTAGGAACAATCCAGGAAGCTGACTGGATGGACTCACCGCTCTCTCTCCTGGTCAGCAGATACAGTATATGGCAGATATAAGGACACTGCAGAAAAAACAAAACCCCACCAGTGAGCAATCTGATTCAGCAAGATACTTATTAGACTAAAGAGACCCCTGTATAAACCCATTTCACAGGTCATTACTGTTTCAATAGTCTCCACAAGAACTTGCTGTCACACTGAAGTTGAAGTGCTTCAGTCCTTACTATATAGAACATGCACCAAACCATTCAGAAATATCAGCACACAGCACAGAACTGATATAACTCATTAAAACCAACTGCCAGTATGCCCATTTCATTTGAGGCTATTCTCTATATTAGGCAAATTCTTTGATGAAGTCAGATCCTGCCCATTAGAATAAGGGCTGAACACTTCAGGAGTCAGAGAATAAGAGGATAATGTATAACAATTAGCTTGTTTTGTGTCAAAACACTTTCATTTATTGCAGTCCTTTCCCTTTCCATATCCTTGTGGCAAGGTATTTAGCAGAATTTTTAGATTTTATTGGTATCTAACAGGCTGCACTATGAGCTCTTCTGCCATGGCCTTGAACTGGCAACCTCTGGGTTGTCAACCATGTGCCTTAGTACCCCATTTACAGCAGTTTGAGTTCAACATGTATAAAGTATCTGTGCCAAACCTCAAGTACTCTGAAAGTATCACACTTGTTAATTTCTCTGTTCTCTTGCAGAAAGTACCTTATGGATAGGAATCTGTGTTAATCGGGCTGGAAGTGCCCCCTCTGCAGTATCTCCTTTAATGTTTTCCATTCTGCCGTTTGCCTTCCCCC